AGAACCACCCGGGATCATCAACTTCCGACCAGGGGAGGACGGATAGAGGTCGTATCTACGAGTCAGCATTCGGCTGTTCGACAATAAGTGAGCTATTCTCCCTGTACATGGACAAGCTGAACCCAGATTCGCCATGGTTCTTCCAAACACCGAAGTTGTCTGCTGATGCAGAAGGACCATGGTACAAAAAGGAGCCGGTCGGTGTGAATACAATTGGCAAGATCATGCCCAGGATATCTGATGCCGCCGGTCTTTCCAAGGTATACACTAACCACTGCGTGAGAGCGACATGTTCCGCGGAGGCATGCGCCCTCAGAACATCATTTCAAGGACCGGTCACAGGATTCTTCAGGGACTGAACCCGTACATTAACAAGAGCACACCCGCACAGCAGCGTCAAGAGGCCAACACACTGGCAGCTGCTATGGGAGCATGTTCAGCTGTGATGGCGAGCCAAGGAGCAGCATCGTCAGCGGCGGTAGCACGGTCGGAAGTGACAAAAGTTCAGGTCGCAGCAGGCACTGGGGAGTCAGCAGGTTCAGTCGCGGTGACTCCGGTAACAACCGCAGGACTGGCGGAGCGAGTGGCCCATGCAGAGGAAATAGCGGCCCTGGTCGGCGAAGAGAGCCGCCGCCATGCTATCGCCGGGACGTTCAACAACTGCGTCTTCGTCCTGAAGCAGTAAACGTCGGATCCGGATGTGCAGCGCAGATGCCAAACGATAACGTTCCGGATGTGTGATGTGTGGCGACTCAGGAGCCCGTGACTCCGTGAGGTATTCTCACGAGTCCTGCAAGTCTTATTTCAGTCGAAATAAGGCACGCTTGGACCCTGAACGCGGCCAATTGGCACTGCAGGGCCTGCATCTAATGAGGCGGCAGGCGCCCCTTGTGCCCCCCCCCCCCCCCCGGTTACGCTGCGCTGGCTGCGGCCATACAGGTAAATCGTATTCTAACTGTCCCTATTCCCAAGCATAGGCGGCGGCCGATTCCTAGTTTGCGCAATATGACTGCCGTCGTTAGACAATACGGTCAATAGGGTTGAAGCGGCATTGCTCTTCTGTGGTAAGAAGCAACATATTTTTAGACAAAATAAAGGCAATGACAACTAAATTTAGGTTACTAAAACGACTCTGATCACAGAATTAGTTACTAGGAAGGCTTTCTAATCCATTTTTATTTAGTTCCTCGTTATAGGCGTAAGAAGTGTAAGTCTGAATGGGGGCATACTTGTACTGAATGCCCCCCATGCTCCTGTCTGGGGGGGCATATGCCCCTAATGCCCCCCCCCCTTGGATCCGCCAGTGTATTGTCAGTCTATTGTCGCAGCGACATGCCTTGGAGCGCCATTTTAGTGTAGGCCGGTGAAGTTTGCGGCTCTCGTGTGTCACATGTTGCGGCGAGACGGCTCCAGTGCGGGACACCGTACCAATTAGTCTCGGCTGGTCATAAACTTCTAGTTAACTTCACAGCAACAACTTACCTGCTTTACATTTACTGCTCCTAAAATCTTACAACGGCGATGTTTTCCTAAACCGGATCAAATTTATTCCTTAAAAATATAGAAAGATGTTCTTAATATAACCCTCGCCCGTATTGGTGGTTTGCCAGCCGCGAACGTATAGGGGGGGGGGGGAGCGTTGGACCCCCCTTGCCGTTTGGCTCCTGATCGAGCTAGAGCTTCGCAGAAAAAAAAAACGAGCGTGTTGCCCGTGACGAGACACCTCTAGAGACCCCCCACAGGTTCCTGGCTTTCAAAATTGGCATCTGAGGGCCGCGCGCAGACTCCTGCGGGGCTTTGCAACGGCTCTATTGGGGCTCACTCAACCTGCCTAATCCTCAACTGCCAAAAAGACTGTCCCTGGGCCCTGGAGATTTCATCTGTCTCTGTCAGCCAAGGACCCACACCGGCTCATGGGGCCCCGGCGCCGAAATATGAGGAAATCTGCGCGGGACCATCGGGACAAACGTTATAGGCTCTGCAGGAGTCTGCGAGTCCTCAGAAGTCAGAACTTAAGAAGTCCACCCCTGTATGTTTTCACATAGAGGCCAGTTTAGGGCCCTCAGAGACTAGTACACTAGTACAGGGCCTGAAAAGGCCAGTGGGTTGAGACCATCAGAGACCGAGTTGGGCCCTCAGAGGCTAATGTGTATTTATATTTTATTTACATTTAAGAGCGATCAACATACAAAGTGCGTGCACTGAAAACAATTTCACCCAAAACTGGCGAGTAAACCGGTGCCTCGCGGGTACCCCTATCCGCAACCATAGGCGGCGGAACGGGGGGGGGCACCGGGGCACCGTGCCCCCCCTTGAATTCTGCAAGGGGGCACCAATAGCAAGGTGCCCCCCCTTAAATTTGATGTATTAGTACTAGGGGCAGATTCGGGGAAAACTCCAAGGGGAGGGCCATGAATCGAAGTGGTGCCCCTACCTATGCCCAAAATTAAAACCTCAACGGATTTCGGCCACTTAATTTTGGTGGTGCCCTATTTTCAGTTTTTTTATTTTCTTTATTTTTGGTTAGTCATGTGATGACTGGTGCCCCTGCACCTGCTAGGCCGCTGATGCCCCTGGAAAGACTGTGGTACCTACCTACCCTGCCCCCTGACAAGCCTACGGTGGGCCCTGACATGACTTAGGTGCCCATGGGCCCTGGCAGGCCTGTGGTGTCCTTGCTAAGCCTGTGGTGTCCCTGGGCCTTGGCAGGTTTGTGGTGCCCCTGTTAGAACGCAGGTGCCCTTGACAGGTTTGTGGTGCATCTGACAATCCTAAATTGCCAACGACAGGCTTGTGGTGCCCTTGACAGGCCCATGGTGCCCTTGCGAGGCCGGTGGTTCCCCTGCGAATCCGATAGTGCCCCTGGCAGGCCTCTGGTGCCCCTGGCAGGTCTGTGGTGCCCCTGGAAGACCTGTAGTGCTTTTGCTAGGCCGATGGTGCTCCTGACAGACCTGTGGTGCCACTGACAGGCCCGTGGTACCCCTGCTAGGCCTATGGTACCCCTGGCGGGCCTGTGGTGCCCCTGTCGGCTGTCAGGCCTGTGGTGCTCCTGGCAGGCATGTGGTGACCCCAGGCCCTAAGTCATGACCCATGTGACCTCCACCCTGGGATTCGCCACTGATTAGTACCATGCGATGGCTTCTTGGTAATTTGTTACATGTAGGATTAATGGAATTTATCAAACGAGAATAAGGAAGAGACAAACACATAGGTACTTGGGGATCAGCTTAAAGTTAACCACACATACGGGCAGGGGTGTAATTTTCCTAAAATGATTGTGGGTGCCCAGCTGTAGGGGCGCCCGGCGCCAGGCCGTTTTGGGGGCGCGATAGATATTCTTTATGTGGGAGCCTAAATTAACACCGAATTTGATAACATTGCTAGCCGAATGGCGCTTCAAGTGACGTGTCTGACTAAGCAAATACACGCTTAAAAGTGGAAACTGACCGGAAGGACGTAAAAAGCTGTAGAGGGCGCCATCCAGTAGGAGGGGCACCAAATGTGGAGGCACCAGACGGTTACGACTTACGAGGGCGCCGTGAGACGATGAAAAGGGCGCCATTCTCTTGGGAGGGCGCCGAGTGATTGAAAACGCTATGTGGTCCAGGGGCGCTAAGAGGCCAGAAGGGCGCCGCACAGTCAGTAGTGCTACGTTGGTGGGGACGTGGGGACGCCAGATGGTTACGAGGGCGCATTGAGATCATGAAAAGGGCGCCATTCTCGTAAAAGGGTGCCGAGTGATTGAAAACGCTATATGTGGTTCAGGGGCGCTGAGAGACCAGAAGGGCGCCGAACAGTCGAGGGATGCACGGTGAACAGAGACCAAAGGACGCGAGACGGTCAGGAGGGCGCCGTTAGACCATGAGAATGGCGCGGTGCTGTCAAAAGTGCGCCATTCTCCCAGAAGGGCGCCGAGTGATTAAAAACGCTATATTATCCATGAACGCGAGACGGTCAGGAGGACGCCGTTAGAGCATGCGAAGGGCACCGTACTCTCGAAAGGACGCTTGCAGCCTTGTAAAAGACTTGTGGGTGCATTTTCATCATTTTGTGGGCATACATAATTCAGGATTGTGGGTGCATATGCCCCCACAAAGAGATATAAAATTACACCCCTGCATACGGGGGTGAACTGCTATTTTCGTTTAGTAAAAAATAAAATTAAAAAAAATCATCGTGTCAGGGCATAGACCTCTGTATACATGGACTGGACACAGAAAATCCGGCCATGACCACAACGGCCCTAAAAGTAAATGCTTATAACTCGAGAGTCAGTTCACCTACGACATCCATTTTTTCACCGCCGCATAGCCCCATTCATTGAAAATGATGGGGATCATCCGCCGAACCGATGCGGTGTAACGGGGGAGCACCAGCACGTGGCGCGTGAGAGATGTTTGTGAAAATGGCGTGACAGTATCTCGGGAACGGCTTGACCGAATGAGTCCAGATTTGGCACACAGCTAGGTATTATACACCTGCCAATAACGCATGTCCCAATTTTGAGGTGCCGATGCACGTGCGCACGTGCACACCCCTTTTTTGTATCTCAGAAACTACTCGTCCGATTTCGCTCAAATTTTGTATACGGCAACAGCCTAACAACCATTGCTGGTTCACACCTCAAGCAAGGGGTGCGACTGCACGTGCGCACGTGCACACCCCTTGTTCATATCTTGGAAACTAGCCGCCCGATTTAGCTGAAATTTTGCATATACCCAAGTGTCTTATAACCATTGCTGGTGTTTGTCTCAATGTTGAGGTGCCGCTGCACGTGCGCACGTGCGCACCCTTCCATTATATCTCGGAAATAAACAGTCCCATTTCGTTGAAACTTTGAATACAACCATGGTCCCCACAACTACCGCTTATTCACACCTGAATAGTTGATATCATAACTAAAAATAACAACAAACGACTTAAAACTGTTGATCGTGTAATCCAACAGATTATGATCGTTGTAGTTGTATGCGGATAAATATCCGGTAGTTGGTGAGCATTTGAGCTAATTTCCTATGCTGTTGTATTCTAGGATACTTGTTCTCAAAAACAGTATAACGTTAAATCGGTTTTATTGCTCTGAAAGGGGATAAAAGTGCAACGCTCATGACGGACCGTCTTAAATAAATTCGTCTTAATGACGGCGACGGAAAAGAGCACGTGACTTTCTGTAAAGTATCATTAGCATTATTCCCAGACCTACGTGTTTTGTCATAAAATAGGCATAAAGCAAGGCATAAAGTTGGAATTGTATATTTAAGTTTCGCTTTTAAGTGTTTCATATTGAGGACTTATCAAGTTTCGGTTGAATAATTGGTGTCGGTGTGCATACAAACTGATACGTTATTAAATGTCACAAGTAGAAGGTTATTTGTTGAACAATTGTTCGTTTTTTAGCTGCATTTTGGAGAAGACCATTTACCTACCTACAAGAGCCCACAGGAAGAGCAAGCAAACGTTCCTGATTGACGCATCGTTACATCTATACACTGTGGTTCCATCCACCCTTAGCCAGATCCTTCCAAGCGTGAGTAATGCTTTATAACTTGCTTCATTGTTATTTGTCTTTGCTGCTTTTTCTCTGGTATGTTTGCTCGCCAAAGTCGGTATTCAATAAACCAGATTAGTTACTGCACTGCCTGCCATGGTTGGAAGGCATGCTTGTAGACAAGATAATCAATGCCATCGAATTCGAATCAATCTATTTGTGTCTTTGATTAAACTGTAAAATAGCAATCTTGACGCATTTACATTCATTATTACTTTTAAGTCGTTTGCCTCTCAATGCAGATGTGCTTGTAGGACGTAGGTTAATATCAAGTATCACTGTGTAAAGGCAGTTTTGCAATACATAAATCTATCCGAAACCTCAATTTTACAAACACATTTACTTGTTCTTGTCATGCTATCGTAATGACTTTGTGGATCATGCTTGGCGAGGGCCGCTTGTTCTTAAAAGTAAAAGATTACCGCCAAGCACACATTATCCTATAAAGTGTGACCGACATACTTTTTTCTCTATTTCTTTCAGTGACGCCACTCACAGAGATAGTCAACGAGCCGCCAACGAACAATGCCCCCAGGATAGCACATCATCGAAATGCCAACTCCAGGAGCAGCAGCAGTCGCCGACATGATGTAGGAGGGAAAATTGATCAGCAGTGTTCGGTGCTTGCTGAAGAGTACAGTGACCTCATTAAGCATTATTTGGCACAGTGAGGCTGATACAGCCTTTGCTCCCGGGTGTAGCCCACGATGCAGCTCCACAGGCTGACCTGATGTGGAGAATCATTGCCTACAGCGTCGTTCATCGGGATGCGTGGACGGAACACTGGAGCACGCAGCCGCTGTCCTAACGATCCCGCTCTCCGCCATCTGGCTGCTCCAGCGGTAGCTACGTGCGACTGTCAGCTGACCGCTGCATAGCCCCGCACAGGCCGTAGTAGCAGGGATCGAGCCGGCTCCGGTCGCCGCCCAGCAAACTATTCTGCCGGCCAAGGTCCTCACCGAGTTGTACGGCGCACGCTCTCTAAAAGAGTGGCCCATTTAGGACATGATAGAAAAGGAGCGACAAGATCGGCCGCAGTGTCCGGTAGGCCGGCGAGGCCGAGTCGCTCCGCCGATCGAGCAACTGCTGACGCCTTTGAATCGAGGCAGCTCCTGGCTGGAGGCGCTGCGGCCCAAGTGTAGCGCCTGACGGCTGACGGCAGCACAATACAGCTGCAATGGGCCCCAGCCCACTGTGGACTCGCCGACAACGAGAGGGCGGACGCCCTGGCCAAGGAAGCGGCCGGGCTGTCCCAGCAGATGACCCCGGTTGACGTCCGCACCCTCACGCAGGTCGTTGCGCGGTCCACCAAGAAGAGGTGGCAGGCGGACTGGCCAGCTGGCTGGTATCGCACCGTCATGGGGGACCACGACCCACGACATCCAATGCGGCCTTGGCCACCGGCTACATGGCCCACAAGGGTCGTGTATCGGCTAAACGCTACCGCGTGTACTTTTCTGTCATCATTTTGACGAACACCCAGACCGCACAAGGGACACTGCATGATGATCCAGTTTAGCAACCAAGAGCTCAGTAGCCGTCAGCGCCATATGAATGGAATGCCATCCCGCTCCATCCTTCTTCCCATTTTCATCCTACCGCCATCGGTGGTGGAAGACTATGACATGCACCAGCACTTATCCGCGGACATCCAACAGCTCTGTGTAAGCCATTACATTGTTGGGCATAGCCACTGTTGGGCTCTTGCTATTATTACAGCGGATTTCAAGGAACCTTTTCGAGAAGTGCAATAAGTGCTCGACCATTGGCGGGTCGGTGAGCCGTGTGACGCGGGAAAGCATATACTCTCTAGCACATCTTTTTCGAGTGCCCTGTCTTCATGGTGACTGATTGGGGAAAAACGGCACCTCTTCCACCCGAACAAGTACCCAACAGCTCTTCCCGGGATTGGGCGGTTCAACAGTGAGCCAGTTTTCTCGAAAAAAAAAAATCGCACAGCTAATTGATAAAGCGTCCGCGAGTGAATCCTGCATTGTTGTTAGCTCTGTTGTTTGCTTTGCTGTTTGTCATGTGAAAATGCTACATCGTGCAGCTAACCGATGAGTGGGTACCTACTGGTTGATGAGCTGGATTTTTTTTTTCGGTGCTGAAGAACTATCAGCTATGTATACCTAAGTGTGCTCAGTCTGATCTGCAATACATATATTTTACAATGCATGTGCTTTTACTGCCAATTAACTTCATCGTTATACAGAAGTTCAGTCCCGTTCGAAAGCAAATTTCTAGGATACCAAGTGTATAAGTCGCTAGTGGTTAAGCTATGGAGTACATTGCTGCGTAGAAGATCTCAGCAGAACGGAACTGCTAGTTTCCGAGCTACCAATTAGGGTTGCGCGCGTGGCGCGTGCGCACGTGCAGTGGCACTTCGAGCTTGTGACGAGAATCAGAAACAGTTAGCTTTGCTCTTGGGGAGGCATAGACAAAATTCCAGCTTAATCGGACGGATACTTTCCAAGATATAAGCAAGGGGTGTGTACGTGCGCACGTGCAGCCGCACCTGATAATGCAGAAGTTCAGTCCAGTTGGGAAATAAGTTTCTAAGGTCCGCAAATGTATAAGTCGCCAGTGGTTATGGAGTACATTGCTGCGTAGAAGATCTCAGCAAAACAAAACGGAACCGCTAGTTTCCGAGCCACGAATTGGGGTGCGCGCGTGGCGCGTGTGCACGTGCAGCGGCAATTCAAGCTTGCGGTGAGTATCAGGAACGTTTAGCTTGGCTCTTAGGGAGGCAGATACAAAGTTTCAGCTAAATCGGGCGGCTAGTTTCCAAGATATGAACAAGGGGTGTGCACGTGCGCACGTGCAGTCGCACCCCTTGCTTGAGGTGTGAACCAGCAATGGTTGTTAGGCTGTTGCCGTATACAAAATTTGAGCGAAATCGGACGAGTAGTTTCTGAGATACAAAGAAGGGGTGTGCACGTGCGCACGTGCATCGGCACCTCAAAATTGGGACATGCGTTATTGGCAGGTGTGTAATACCTAGCTGTGTGCCAAATCTGGACTCATTCGGTCAAGCCGTTCCCGAGATACTGTCACGCCATTTTCACAAACATCTCTCACGCGCCACGTGCTGGTGCTCCCCCGTTACACCGCATCGGTTCGGCGGATGATCCCCATCATTTTCAATGAATGGGGCTATGCGGCGGTGAAAAAATGGATGTCGTAGGTGAACTGACTCTCGAGTTATAAGCATTTACTTTTAGGGCCGTTGTGGTCATGGCCGGATTTTCTGTGTCCAGTCCATGTATACAGAGGTCTATGGTCAGGGCTGTGACGAAAAATAAGTGGCCTAAATCCGATGAGAAAACAGGATTTGGGGGTACCCTAGGTTTGGCTCCTTGAGCCATGGTGCCCCCCCCCCTTGTCTCAAATCGTTCCGCCGCCTATGTCCGCAACCATTTTTAACCACCCTCCCAGGAGTCAATTTAGGACATAACACTTTCGCAATTCACTCTGGAGAGTAGTAACCCTCCACGACTATTCGCGCACCAGTGGCTCGCGACCCCTCCATCGAAAGGTATTCATCGACGCCTACCTGGCAGCAGCGCCCCACAAACCCCTAGGAGAGGGGGTTACCCTCCACGCCTACCCTTCGCCGACCAAGTCACGAGGGCCAAAAAACTCCCACGCTTGACCATATTTGCGGGAAAATATCTATTATGGCAATCTCACACTCATCGGTGAGAAAGTTTCACATCGGTGGGAAAGGTCAAATCGAATTCCCATAGAAATTTCGACATGACTCAGTCACCGGCAGTCATGCAGACCGCCCGAAATCAAGATGTGTTGCCACTGCTTTCGTGACCTATCTTGGTAGTTTCGGAAGAAAAAGCGTTGCCAATCGTTCCGTGATGAATATTGCAGAGGTTTTAAAGATGCACCCTAACAATTGTACTTTCGCCCCCACTTGAAAACCGCCAAACAATGTGCCAATATATCATTGGTTCAAAAAAAAGTTAAAAAATTGTTGTAATTCAAAACTGTATGAGACAGCCCCATCTAGTTGTAACAGTAGATCCAACTCCTTCAGGGCAGGTTATGTTAAGGTTCGCCATCCACGGATACGCGTTTACGATACCTCTAGTAGTTCTAGCTCTTTCAGTGAGAGCTGTGCCAATGACTCGACACCCGCGGGGACAATATCCGGTGCTGGGTAGCTTACCTTACTGCAGACTGTGGGTACAGTGCATATTTACGAGTAATAAGGCAGCTAGAATCTGGACATGGCGAGTTAATACACATATACCACCCGCAGAGCAACGCTTAATTCGCCAGCTTCGGGTGAAATTGTTTTCAGTGTGGCGATTACTGTTCAGAATCCGCATCCGCGGTTGCTAATCTAATCATTCAAAACATTTGCACATTCACTTACGTCAAAACGCAGACAAAACACTCTCAGGACAGCCTCATCCCTCTTACCCACCCCCACCCTATTGATTCATCGTCCACGATTGCGGCTTTAGCAGAGCGGGCGAAGCGGGCGGGAGGCAGCTACGACAGGTGAGGTGGCAGTTAGCGGTGTCGATTTGTGAAAATGGTTGGGGACAAGCGGCTGCGCCACTTGCTTCGCGGCGTAGCTAGAAAATGCGGCACCAGCCAATTTGCTTTCGAATGGTGTTTGATTTAAATTGATCTGTCGTCTGAAAGCAGAGATATGGACGGAAACGTGCAGAGGAAATTTTTTAACCATAATAACTATTTTGAGGAATTTGTTGGATGGAATTTGGGTCACACGGGGTCAAGTCAGGTCAAGTTGGTCATCCCTGATGACACTGGGTCAGGCCAGGCACCTTCGATCAGGCCAGGTCGTATAGGTCACCACGTCACATTGGATCGGCCTGGGCCACACTTCTACTACTTCTACCAATACCAATACTCCTACCACTACCCTTACCACTACCCCTACCCCTACCACTACCCCTACCACTACTCCTACCACTATCCTACCACTACCCCTAGCACTACCCCTACCACTACCCCTACTACTACCCCTACCACTACTACTACCCCTACCACTACTACTACCCCTACCACTGCCCTACTACTACCCCTACTACTACCCCTACCACTACTCCTACCACTACCCCTAACACTACCCCTACCACTACCCTACCACTACCCCTACCCCTACCCCTACCCCTACCCCTACCACTACTACACTACTACCACTACCTTGTCCCCTACTACTCCCCCTACCACTACCCTACTACTACCCCTAACACTATCCCTACCACTACCCCTACCGCTACTCCTACCAAAACCACTACCACTACCACTACCACTGGGTCATGTGAGGTCACAGTAGAGGTCTGCACCGGCCGGATGCAGCCGCGGCTGGCTGCAGCCCCACGGCTGTGGGTCGGGGCGGCTGCAACTATCTCAAAGAACACGGCTACGGCTGTGGCCACGGCTGTGATATTTCAAGCTGAATCTTAATTCTTAGTACTCAAATACAAAATTTTAAATCCTTACTCTTACATTCTGATAAGCAGTCTAGCCTGTAAAAATCATGCAAAGGATGCCCAGCAACATTAAAAGTGGTGAAGCCTTTGAAAACCTGTGATGGTTTTATCATTTCCCATCATAAGTAGGGGAGTTTGCAGTCTGGTACAGAATGCTAATCCACGAGCCGCTGGGGGGGCATAAAGTTGCCCCCCCCTTTACGTTTTGTGAAATATCTCCGAAACCTCATGAGCTACGAACGTGAAACTTGGCATAGCTTCAAATGAATACCTAGGCAATGTTTGAGGAAAGTTTGGTGGTTGTAGTACCTAAGATGACGTCACAGTGACGTCACAAAGTTTTGTCGTTTTCCGATATGGACCGTTTCTGATGACGCTGAGCATGAAACTCAACTGTAAATGAACTAGACAGCACCTGCTGTCATCCTAAAACATCTAACTACACTTCCATCTAGTTTCTGACCAATAATCGACCCTTTATATTCGGTCCCATATATCTGATGTATCGTGAGGAATATGAGAGTCGCAAATCTATAATTTCACTTATGACGTCACTGTGACGTCATTTCAAATGGGATCGACACCAAATTTGGACACAATCTCGGCTAGGTATTCAGAAAGATGTGTGCAAAGTTTCGCTTCTCTATCTCTTCGCGTTGAGACGATATCGTCGGAGAAGTAAAGGGGGGGCAACTATATGCCCCCCCCCCCCCAGCGGCCGGCGGGTGGCGCGGAGGCCCAGCGGCCGCCGGGCTAATCATAGGTACCAATTGTTCCCTCATCATCATGAGCTTGACAGCTTCAGAAAATGCACCATGTTGCATTGTCACATCTCTTTCAAATCAATCTTACCTGGTCATTAGGAGAGCACCTTACAGCTATTAAAGACAAGCGTTCAATAATTCTTTCAGGTAATGAAAAAAGAAATAACGCCTAGGTAAAGGCAGACAAAGGCTTCATGAAATATTATCTTAAATAACTCTTAGATGTTTTTCTGGATTTTCGGCAAGTCCAAGTACGTAATACAAAACTGGCGCTTTTATGTTCTAACTGGTGTGTGAGTGAACGCTAACAGAAAGTGCTGATTAACGAAGCCAACGGAATTAGATTAAAAGGGAGCGTAAACCTTACTTACGGTTCATTCACATGACGTTGAAATATCTGAACACGACATTTCTTACGCTAGTTGTTAACTTTACTAACAAAATGACGTCTTTTTCTAAAAATATGAAACTTTGATATTCAATCTATGTTTGAGAGCAAGTAGGTATTCAGCTGTAGTACTTTATTATAAAATAAGCATTATTTTTTATGCCTGTTTGTAGAGACACAAAAAATAGTTGCTACTTCTTTGCTACTGACGTCATTAAAAACTCCAACTAACTTTTAGATTTGAAAGAGGCAATTGTGGCTCGCACGTCCTTGGTGATTTAGAAAAATGAAAATCAAGTTGGAAAAATCAAATTAGATGAATGTTTATCTTTTTTGGATGCTCACTAGTGTTTTGATGTCTTGCATATCAAATTAGTTTGAGACTTGCTCAAAAGGCTGCTTCAAGCCTAGCATATCACACCCCAAGGGGAAGCTGGGCATGGTTCGGACACTTTTTCTTAGATATTTGCTCAGTAACTATTCAGGTCCGGTGAACTGCAAATAGTGCCCCTGTTGGGCCCATGTGTGGCCTTCATAAACA